ACTACCTGTTTTCACATGCAGTAGATCATTAAATCCAATCCTGTGAAGGAAGCATTTTTATTCTCATTTTATACATGAGAAAACAAACTTAGGTTAAGTTTCTCTATTACCCCACACCCTACCGCTGGTTAATGGCAGAATTCAGAATTACATTTATAGCCTCTTAGCTCTTTCCACCCTGTGTGAGGTGCGTGCACTCTGATGTTTTCCTAAAGATAGACTGAGGCAACTCTGCAACTCACTTCGGGCATTTAACTTACCAGGGTTCACTAGCTAGGAAAATAAAAATTCCTTCTACAGGGTGTGTTAGAGTTTATAAAGTAACATTTCGCTGTTTCTCTTCATTTTCACAACCATTCTGTGGGGGAAAGGATAACTATTATCCACCTTCCTCGTTAAGGCTAATCCAAGATTTGCACCAGTGACTGATCTGTGTGACATGGGGCCGGAGCTCACACTCTTCCCCTTAGCATTTGCTGTCTTCATGCTGTAGAAATGTGTCTAACACGCTAGCGATGAGGGGAAGGGAACATATGTGAGCTCTAGAGAAGGAGTGAAGGTAACAAAGGTGGGATGCAAGTATGGTCATCCTGTTGCTGGCCAGGTGCTCATGAAATCTTCTGGGGCACTTCATCCACTTGGAGATTGCATTTCCAGTTAGTTTTTAGGGCATTTACACTTATTAGATTAGAGGGAAGCTAATCTCCCGCTGTTCCCCATTATCCCAGACACCTCCTGGAAATCATTACCTAACCAAGTGAATTCCAATATTCAGTGAGAATATGGAATTTGAACATTTCTTACTCTGTGCTCCAGGCTTGGAAAATTCTAGGTAAACTTAGACCAAATTAATTCATTAGGTTTGTCTTTAAACAGGCGAAAGGCCTTCCTCTTAGAACCACCCCCATAACCCGTCTGTCCTTACTCATCTGCATACTCAGATGCGTGTATTGAGTCCCTGTGCCGTGCTAAATATCAAAGACTTTTTCAGTATGTTTTTTTTTATTTTTTTTTATTTATGATAGGCACACAGTGAGAGAGAGAGAGGCAGAGACATAGGCAGAGGGTGAAGCAGGCTCCATGCACCGGGAGCCCGACGTGGGATTCGATCCCGGGTCTCCAGGATCGCGCCCTGGGCCAAAGGCAGGCGCTAAACCGCTGCGCCACCCAGGGATCCCCTTTTTCAGTATGTTGAGAGGGAAATTCTCTCACTTCCATTTCTTTCTGATATTTTTCATAACCAATGAGATATAAGCTATTCCTTTTTTTTTGGATTTTTTTAGCTTTCTATTTTAAAGTAATTTTGGGCAAAGAAAGGATTGCAAAAACAGGACAAATCTCTTCTATCCCTATCCCGACTTCTTATACTCTTGAAATATTGTTAGTTTGCTTTAAAACCACAGTGTGATTATCAGGAACAGGAAATTAAAATTAGCACTGTGTTACTAATTCAACTTATTTGAATTTTACCTATTTTTCTACCAATGCCTCCTTCCTGTCTCGGAATCCCACGTTCCTTTAGACGTTAGTTCTCCTTAATCCCTTCTAGTCTGTAACATTTCCTCAGTCTTTCCTTGTTGGTCATGACCTTGACGCTTTCAAAGATTATTGGTCAGCCACTTTGTAAAGTGTGTCTCAATTTGGTGTTTCAGCTGGTGTTTTTTTGTGATTGAAGTGAGGTTTTGCATTGTGGGTGAAAATGCCACATATATGATGCTTTTTTTCTTCCTTCTTTCTACACTTATTAATTGGAATTCCCTCATGAGGAAGAGCTGCTTTATGTATTTGATTACTTATGTATATTAGTATGGATTTATGGATGTTGATTTTATTCTATGGGTTAATCTGAGACTGTTGTTAATTATCTTGTTGCTCAGACTTACCCAGCTTTGGCCCTGAGAAATTCCTTCAGGTTGGCTTCTCCATTCTTTGGACTAGGCTCTATCTTTTTTGAGTATTTCCTTACTCTCTGGACCCATAAGATGTTTCAGATTTATCTTGTATTGTCCCTGTTCCAGCTCAGATACTGTTACATTTCCTAGGAGCCCTATTTACTTTTATTGGATAATGGTGTTTAGAGACCAATATGGGCACTCAGTGTGCTCATTGTTATTGGAGGTCATTGGTTCTAGGCCTGTGAACAGAGCAAGGGCATATATGTGTGCACAGTAACCCCTGAATACACATATATCTACTTTTTGGGATGTATGTGTTTACATATTAGAAATCATGAATTTGGACTAACACCTCTGATTCCAGGCCAACATCACAGAGTTCATTTTCACAGAGTTGGAACAAATAATCCTAAGATTTGTATGGAACCAGAAAAGACCCTGAATAACCAGAGGAATGTTGAAAAGTAAAGCCTTCCATGTAGTTTTGTGCTTCATTTACAATAGTGTTTTGCTCTGTTATGGTGTTGTTATTCCTTTTTGGGTTTCCCTACATCCTGACTGTTTTTAATTACTAGTTTTATTTTTGGAGCATGCAAAAAGTATGTGAAACTCTACTATGGTCTAAGACTGGGCATTATGCCAATAAATATACCCAGAGAAGTGCTTCTCCTTCCTTATCCAGCCACCTCATGACCAATCCCTCCTTCTTCCCATCTGCCCCCCCCCCAATACATAACTAACCTCTGGTTTTAGGTTTATGCTTCCTGTATTTCTTTTTTTTTTTTTTACAAGTGAGGATACATGTATATTTTCTTATATTTTTTTCTTATACACTGGGTCACATGATATAGTCTGTTGAGCTTTGCATATTCCATCATGAAAATGACTCTGTGCCAGTTTATGGAGGTCTTCATTCCTTCTTACATCTGTACCATATTCCATTGTATGGACGTACTATAGTTTCTTCAACCATAAATTGTTTCCAATGTTTTGTCATTACAAAGCTGCAGTGAATATAACCTTCTGATTATGTATTTTTGTATTATTGGAAGTACATCTTCCCAGAAGTGTTCTATTTCAAGAGTTAAGTATGTATCTTATTAGGTATTACCAAGTTTCCCTCTAAAAGGATTGCACTAGTTTTCATGCCCACCAGCAAAGTACAAGGGTGCCTTTTTCTTCAGCCTCACCAACTTTTCTTTCTTTTGGGAAGGGGAACAGTTTCATAGGTGAAAAACATAATTCAGTGTCATTTCAGTTTCTATTTCTATAATTTTGCATTGCTTGGTCCTTTTTAAAACCTATGAGGACTTTTTATAGCCTTTTTGTGAGTTGTCTGTTTGTGTCTTTTTCTCATATTTCTATTTTTTTCAGTCTTTTGTAACCTCAATATTTTAGGGTATTTTTTTATATATTACAGATATTAGCTATTTGTCCATGGTATAGGTTATGAATATTTTCTCCCAGTTTGTCAGTTGTCTTTTGTTTGTGATATTTTTGTTATATAAATAATTTAAAAACGTTCATGCAGTCAAATGTATCACTCTTTAATAGCTTCTAGATTTTGAGTCCTCCTTAGACTTTCCCTACCCACAGTTAAAGAGGAAATTGCCCATGTTATTGAAATATTTTGAAATGTTAAAAACATACAAATGGTAGGTTTGTTAAAATTCATTCGGAATTGGGAATATTGAGACCCCTTCCTTATTCTTCTAACTGCCCAGCCTTCCCACCTGAGTCCTGTTATTATTGCCATCCCTTACCTGGTACTTAATCACCCCATCTTCGGGCTTCCATGATCTCTTTACACCCAGGGACCCCACCTAAAACTACTCTAGGGTATTGGAGACTATCTTGCCTTCCCCAGCACTTTTTACTCTTAAGTGTATTATTCTGTTTTGTTCTGGTAGCGTTATTAAGCAATTACTTTAGAATTCTCTGCTGATTCAAGCCCAGAATCAGTACCTACACTTTACTTCCCTTCCTCCTTGCCTCGTCTCCTTCATTCAAGCAACTCCTAAAATTCAGCATCTTCTGTTTCCAAAGACCATTCAGCCACAGCCTCTCAGTAGATGAATGAGTGCGTTCATAGCCATGCCTTCTGCATGAGACACATCATAGCCACGTGAGAGGGTATGCACCTGACACACTCTGGCCTATGCAGCAGAACACAGATAATACAACACCTGAAAGAAATATAAAAATGAATCTTTTCCACGTGTTGTAGACAAAAGTAGCTCCAAAATATACTGAAATATTTTATACTTATAAGTGTTAAGTTTTCTCATTCTTTCATTATGACTCATTCATTATGACATTTATTTAAGTACATAAGTAGGATTTTGTTGGGGATCCATCAGCAATTAAGTGCCTGCCTTCAGCTCAGGGCATAATTCTGGAGTCCCAGGATCGAGTCCCGTGTCGGGCTCCCTGCATGAGCCTGCTTCTCCCTCTGACTGTGTCTCTGTCTCTGTCTCTGTCTCTCTCTCTCTCTCTTTCTCTGTGTGTCTCTCTCATGAGTGAATAAATAAAATCTTTTTTAAAAAAAGTAGGATTTTGTTAGCATAGTATTTTGAATATCAATAAATTAATGAAAAATCTAAGTGATGTTTGAAAGGAAAAAAAAACTTTCCCTCAATCTTCCCTCTCCCCTTACCTTTTTCCCTCTCTCCCTCCCTCCCCCACAGTACAAACCAAAGGACAGGCTGCTGGTTTTGGAAGGTCAGGATGACCTGGCATTCTGCCTAGAAAAAGAAAGTGATCCACCAGGAAAGCCCAAGATAGAGCTAGAAGTCATGGGGACTTGTTACTGCATAGCTATGCATTTCCATTTTTAATGTTGACTGGTGTGGATATTTTAATAATTGATCTACAGACCTCTCTGCGTGTTGTCTTGATAAATATTTACTATTTGGGTTAAGCAGTGATGGGCCTGTTTCAGCTTCATGTAAATTATGTACATCTGAAGAAATCTAATGGAGGCTGAGACATTATTTAATAACACAAACTCTTGAAAATCATATAATATAGAAGGGAGTAAGAGCATTTTTGTTTCCTACTATGTTGATTGATTGATTGATTGATTGATTATTTATTTTCTTACAGGGATCCTCAAAGTCTAGACCCACCAGAAGTGAGCAATGCAAAACTGCAATATGCAGGCTGGGGTCCCAAAGGCCAGCAGCTGGTAAGCCAATCAAGCTCAGTGACCGGGTTTGAATTTGATGATGTTCACACATCACAGGGCTGAATCTGTGATGCTCAATGTCTGTGTTTGTGTCACTGAAATTTGGGAAAAGTACACAGAATATTTGCATAAAATATTATTTTATGTAAAATGGACATTTCTTTTTTTTGTTGGGGAATTATTTTGAAGTTGGAACATCACATGCTTTGGTTCCCAGATCCAATGCCCTGAAAGTGGTCCCTGAGTGTAGCTTGTGTAGATGACAGCCTTACCGTGAGGTCAAGGTGATAAGTCTTGTCAAAAGGATTATAAATAGAAATGAGTAGAATCGTTATTGAAAGCTTCTTTGTTTTGCTCTCAGAAGTCTGGCTCTGTTCCTCGGAGGATTATGGGGGTTCTTTTATTTGAGAAAGTAGATTTGTTGGCCCTTGTGAGGCCAGGCTCCTGTAAGTGACATCAGCATGAAGCAAGCACAGCCTCATGGCTCGCTCCACTGATCAGACACCCACATGGATTCCCACTTAGGTTGGCGAAACCAAGATGTTTCAAGAAACGGTGAATGGCAAAGCTGGTGTACAGCAAACAACAGTTAAGAGACGAGGGTTCTGGTCCTGGGTGTTATCCTAACCCTCAGCTGTCAGGCTGCAGTCAGCGAGCCCAGAGGTTGAGTGAAAGGCTGGGATAGGATGATCTCTAGGGTGTGTCTCGGCTCCAGCCTCACCCTAACTTAAAGCTGGGTGAGAGATGTCAGTGCTGCTCCACTTTCTTTCGGGAGATTGTAGCGGCCTCTGCAGGAAGCCTCTGGAGCATGAGATCAGGTGACACAGCCGGGGTCCAGCTCACCGTGTCTTTGATGCTGATTACATGAAGCTGAATTTTAAAAACTCTTTTCCTAAAATAACACAGAAAATGGTTATTTTCAAAAGCTTGGGGTGAGGTTGTACTAGACAGTCTGTGTTCTGTCTCAGAAATTAAAATAGTCTTGTTTTTCCCAGTGACATGATTATATTCCCTTGGTTGCATATTAGTTTCATTGCCTTGAAATGGTCTAAAGACACAGGAGCATTTAGGTCACAGAACTGTCCTAGCTATTACTAAAGGACCCTGGCGCCAGACACGCAGCCATCGGGATTTAGCTAATAAGAGTCAGCCAGTGAAAGGAGGTCAGGAGGCTTCCAATCCCCAGTGGCAGGCAGACACCAATCCCCAGTCAGTGCGAGGAGATGAAGCTCACCTTTCCTGAGAGGCACCTAACTCTTACACGGGGAGAACCTGCAACTTCCAGGAGGGAGCCCAGAGTGTTCAAGACTTAGTCTCCAGCAGCCGACGACATCCCTCTGCACTCATGACTGAAGTTGTTTCTGGGAAGCAAATGGTACCCACATCCACCAAGTCCTTCTGTACAGGTGACCTCTTGCCCCGCAGAGGCTCCCCTTGCTCTCCGTGATCCTTGGGGCATCTGCTGCGCCAGCCTCACTCGCCAACCTCCTCCCACAGCTCGAGGAAGAGCTCAGGGTAAGCAGCCTTCTTAACAGACATCAGGAGAAGGACACTGACTCCCACACTGGTTAGTATCTCTTTCCACAGTCCCACTGCCTCCCTCCTTGTCACCCAGTGATTATCACTAACCTAGGGACTCACGCCTCACATCGGCACACAGGAGAGGCCAGACCTTGAAGCAGAGGCCGCACAACCTGATCCTACCTTCTGGAAGCGGCGTGCACTTTACAGAAAACTCACCCCACAGTTTGCCAAAGGGGGGGGGGATGTGTGTGCAGGCATGACATGAGGGCTGCGGCTGGACTTCGGAGGCAGATGGGGCTCCAGACTGTTCACCCTCCAGACCAGTTACCTTCCCTGCCTGAAGGCCCTGTTGCCTCTTGGATGATTGAGTTTATACTCGTGTCCCGCTTTCTGGGGGTTTGGGGTGGGTGTGAGTGATTCCAGAGTCATCACACTTAACTCCTTAAAGAGTAACTGGCCACAAAGCTGAGTTCACATCAGCTTCTCTGAGAGGCTGGGCTCATCTCCCCGGGAGTGACACGAACTCCTGTTGCTGCGATGTCTTGCTGCCACTGATGTGTCTCTCCTCGGTTGAGGATTGATTAATGACCTAATACATTTTTGTGATCCTCAATCACTTAAACACCATGTAGTCAGGTGGAGGCAAGTAGCCAGGGTCTGTGTGACTGATGGTGCGGGAGGTTCAGCTTCCTTTCTGCTCCAAGGAGATGAACATTCAGTCAAGTGGTAATTGCTAATATTTGGGCTTAGTACCAAAATGTACTAATGTGCCCATGGAAGTTTTGAGTTTCTAAACTTTTTTTTTTTTAACTTTAGGGATTTTATTAACAGATCTTGTACCGAGTATAGCAGGCAACGTATCTCACCCTTGAAGCGTCCTCCGTACCCAAGCAGGGGTCAGCACACTTTTTCTGTAAAGGGGTCAGGTAGCAGATGCTTTAGGCTCTGCAAGCCCACATGGCCTTGGTCTCAATGTCTCCACTTTGCTTTTGTAGAGCAAGAGCATGTGTAGGTGATATACAAAGACGTGGACATGGTTGTATTCTGATAAAACTATTTACAAAAATGGGTATTTTGGCTGGAGGGCTGTGGCTGCTGACCGGTGTCTCCGGGGATCCTGTGCTCTCCTGACTGTCCTCCCCCCACCCAGGAAAGCCTCACCCTAGGGACCCGCACCCTGGTCACAGCGACCCCTGCTGCTCACTCTCTCGTCAAAGGAAATCTGCAACCCCTGAGCAGGCCATGCAAACACTAACAGCATCCTCATTGACATTTTATTTTAAAAAATAAATACTGCTCCCCAAAGGAAATCTCCTCTAATTATAATGAGTCAGACTGAAATGAGTAATTCTCCTTCGGGAGCAGAGAGCACAGCTGCAGCTTGGGATCATCAGAGAGCTTTCCAAGCATCATCACCTCCTCGTAGGGAGTGACTTCAACAAGGCACTTGGCCGGGGGACCCTGTCAGCCCAGGGACCCTGCACGCAGCACCAGGAACTGGGCCAGCGGCATGTTTCCTGGTGCCTCTCTGTGGCCTCCAGTTAGTGGCTTTTGCCCATTTGGGTGACTTCTGTTGGACCCGCAGATGACATCACAGGTGATAAATCCTGCCCAGTTGGCCCACTGTTACAGGAAAGGGGAACGCAGACGTGGGGATGCCTCCATTCTGCCGGGATGGTGTCTGGGATGGTGTTGGTCTGTGAGCTCAGTTGTTCATGATGGAAAACATGGTTGCTTTCAGAATTTGATGTACCTGCTGAGCCTGAAAACAGAAAAATGGATTTGGCTAGATTTAACAGAATTAAATGAGAAAATATATGTAAAGTGTTGAGGACATGTCTTCTTCCCCTTGCTCAGCGCCCCCATCTTTCTGTGGTCAGTGTCCATAGCCATTGGCAGTGAAAACAGAAGTGACTTCACACTTTTTCCCCAGGCTGTGACTCTCTTCTTTTTTCCTCTGCCGATGAATCTCTGCGTGCATTGAGAGCTCCTCTGAGTTTCTTTTTTTATCTTTCCGTGAATCCCCATCCCTGCATGTTTGTCTCTTTATGTGCCCTCTTGTCTCTGCTAACCTAGAACACGATTGAGTTGTCTGTCTGGAAACATCCTTTCCTTTCCTTATACGTCATCTCTGCAAGGACATTTCACAACAACAGATGCCGAGGGCAGCTGCAGGGCCTCGTGTGCATGTCTGGCACACACCTGGGTCTCCGCGCATTAGCATGCAAGCATGGGGAACTTAGGAGGCCAGTTGCATAATGATGTTTTCCTCTGGAGCTGGGGGCTGTGGAGACTTCTGCAAATATGACTGCATGGCACTGGACGACTTGCAGGATTCGAGGCTGACATGTTTGCTGGTGGCTCAGATGATCAGAGATGGAGAAAATGGTTTTCTCTTTGGTTGGCCTACTACCACAGTGGTTATACATGGACAGCATTGAGAGGGATATTTAATAAGCCTATTGGGAGTTCTTTAGTGTAGACGTGGCTCCAGCATGTGACACATGAAGAGCAGGTAAAGGAGTCTGGGGACGCTGCCAGAACCAGAGCTGGAGCTGCCCTAGGCACGCAGGTGACCAGGTGGGGGTAACAGTCCAACAGAAGAAAACTGAGGAATACTCACAGGCTCTGCTGTCCCGAGTGGGAAAGGAAGCCGACTTACTCCCGGGCTCTGGGGCCACATGGGGTTGCGGTGTGGAAGACCATGAGAGATGCTCTGTGTCTTCTTGGAGACAAGAGAATACAGTTTACTGTGTTTCCCCAAATGGGGGGATTTCAGCAGCACGTTATGAACAATTGCCTTGCATCCCTGGCTCGTGAGACCTGAGGATACTTCTCCAGGGCAAGTCACAAACAGAATAACTAACCAAGGACAGTGGAGGAATGCACTTACGGGGCTCCTTCATATGTGGTTGGTGTAGCAGCTCTCCCAACAAGGTCTCAGGGCAGCCCGGACTCTCGAATGTTCGCCTGGTCCCAAGAGTTTCAGGAAGGCAGATATGACCAACAGTTGCTGTGGCTGGTCAGCCAGCCACCTGCCAAGAACCGGAAGGCCACTCCTTTGTGTGTGCAGTTCTGGCAGTCCTTAGTCACTTGTCTATTTACTGTTTCAGTGAATTCTTACTGCACACATCCTGTGCTCTGGACCCTCCACCAAGGTCCTTTAGATGCAGAGGAAAGATGGTTCTTTCCATGTCACGGACAAGGCATCTATCCCTGCATTTATCTGCTGGCAGCAGCTGCCCCTGCTTTCTGCCACCCTGCTGTCCCCACTGTATCTGTGTCCCCTCCACATGAGCTCTGGGTCCCGCGGGTGGCAGGGCCGCAGGAGGTGGGTGACTGCCCCACATGGGTGCCAGCCTTGTTCAACCAAGACTCCTGGGCCCTCCGGGCTTGAGACAGGGATGCCACCTACACGTCCTCTCCTGGCACATCCACTGCTCACTGGTGCTCCTCCCATCAGAGCAGTTCAGCAC